ATATATATATATATATATATATATATATATATGCGTGTATAAATTTTAAGAGCATAATATATCAAATTTTACATCTATAAATTTATTTGTAATTTATTCATATGGATACACTACAAAAAATTGAAGTTGGTCTGACTCAAAGCACTACTGATGAATTTGAAATTTTTTCTAATGATGTTGTTGGTAGAGTGTTTGGGCGAGAACACTCTGGGAGAGTGAGATGCATGGGTATGGGAGCAGCTCCTATTAATACATTTCGTAATACTAGGCTTCGAATTAGTGATTTGAGCCTCTCTTCATCCAATGTTGCTTCATCATCATCATGTTCTAACCAATGCAAACAAAAGTTCAATCTTTTGGAATCCCAACTACAAGGAACCTTCAATGCCCTTAAGGCCTATATGATAATGAAGGAAGGAAAGATTCCTGATGAACTGGTTAGCTTTTTTGTTTCACAGGTAAAGTATTATGACTTATTATTTGGTGATTGAATGTAATGTTGGATGTGACTAAATAGGCTCAAGTTACTTGTTTTTGCTTTCTCTTATTTGTTGCTTCAACACCATATAGAGGTGACAATTTGATACAATTTTATTTCTTAAGATATTTATTAGTTTGATCTTGGAGATTGCACTTGAATTATGGAATTATATATTAGGACTAAATTGCACTTCCTTTATCTCTAAACTGTGCTGATACTAATTTATTTTTCTTATTTCATCCTAGTGATGTTGGAAGTGAACCTGAATCGTCGTTAGATACTAGAGGATCATCTGGTGGTAGCAATAGCTAGTCTAATATTTAGACCTAGTTTTTTTTATATTATGGACTGCTTTAGGTTATCATGGTTTCTGAATTTATAAAGTGTTATAAAAACTTAGTTTCTTTTTTTTATATATTTTGGTGCTCTACTTGTTGTCAACTTGGACTTCTAAATTAGCTTTTATTGTTGTTGATCTTTTGTAGTTATGTTACTTTCATTACTACCAATCCATTGTCGATGACTATTATGTTGGAGTAAAAATTTGGCTTTAAGTTGTGCACTCAATGTATTCTTCTTGTCTCAGATATCAAATGTTCGATTACTACTATTTTTTAGGTTGTTATTGTCTTTTTTATTTGGCATCTTGTTGCCTATATGGGTTCTTTGTATCGGTAGCTTGTACTCCCATTAATTCCTTTTTTTTCTTATAAAAAACTTAGTATTATCCAATGGGATTTGGATTATGTTATGGGCACCTCTTTATTTTTTTTGTATACAGGTTAAATGTAATTTAAATTAAAAAATAAAATATGTTGTGAAATTAAAAAAAAAAATCATTCAAATTGAAGAGGTTTTAAAACGCCGCAAAATTTGTTTTAACCCCCTTAATCAAAACATTTTGGATGCTACATAAACCCTGCAATTGAAAAAAAAAACTTTGCAAATAGAGGAAGTCAAAAACCCCTCAAAATGAAAAGGGTAGCGAAAGTTGGTAAAAACTGTCATATAATACTTGTGGCAAATGTAACTGCGACAATTTTATAATATGCCATTAATTATTTTAAGGGGGTGAAAACCGCCGTAATATGAAAAAAAATCCCCGCAAAATGACGAATTTCTTGTAGTGATAATATTTTATGTACATAACTTTAACTTTTTAATTCTTCAAATATTTAAATGTATTAGATAAACATAATGAGTTTATTGTTTACTCTAAAAGACACATAATTTTTATATTAAAATCTTCTCTTTGATTTTTTTTTAATTCAAAACCACAAAAAAACACTAAACAAGTATTGATAATATTGGGTATTTAAATGAAAAAAAAATGTATTCTTAATTTATAAAATGTTAATTACTTTATAATTAATTTTTTTTTTGTAAAAGTTTAATTATAATCTTTCATACCTCTTGAGCTATAACATGTAAATAATTGTTGATTTCTAGATCTTTTAAACATTTTCTTTGAAAAACAATAATAATATTTTCGAGCAACTTCTCTAACTTTTGAATTCTAAATTTTGCATTAGATTTTTTAGATGAAACACTTGAATTAGGTATTTTATAAAATCTACCTTTCATGTTTCTTTGTATAAAATCTAACTCCATTACAAATATAACCACTATTTTCTCACAATTTATAGTGGGCTACGTGCTAACCACTTGATATCATTTGTGACAATAGCACTACCTTGCTCCTCCAAATATGTAACCTACCACAATTTTAATAACATTCAATCACAAATTTCAAATCGTGATATTAATAATGGATGTTTCTAAACACTTCCATTCACGAAACCAATTCGGAAATGTTTGATTATGAATTTTGTCAATTTCATATAGAGATAGTTGATAATTTCATCTCTTAATAAAATTAATATGTTCTCTATGTAACAAAAAAGGTTGAACAATTTAAAAAAGAAATAAAGGTATAACAAACAAAATTTTAGTAACTAAATATAAAAAATGAAAAAAGTCATCTTACTTTTGAAAGGCAACAACATTATTGCTATAAAAGCACATATCTATGTGTTTGAAGCAATGTTCTCTTATTAAAAGACTTTCAAGAAACTTTTTTTTTTCACATTGAACCTAACTTGACCTTTTCTCTCCAAAGGTCTACCTCTTGGGTTTCTACAAAATGAGAATCATCATTTCAACTATATCTGTTAAAATGAGTTTCCACCTCTAGAAAGATATCATGAACAAAATATCAAGTATTCATGAGCTAAATGTCCCTTTGAAATAGAACCCTCTAGATGTGCTCAATTATGAACAAATGACTTTAAAGTATAAAGGAATCTAAAAAAATATTTTAGGTTACATTATATGATAATATCATTTTACTATATAAATCTAAAATTTTATTAAATTACTATAAAAAGTACCTTTCAATGGGATACATCCATCAATAATGAACTGGAACTGCAACTTTTGTCTTATATGCCAAATGGATCACTAAATGTACCATCACAATGAAAAAAGATTGAGGAAAAATTTACTCTACCTGACACAATGTTTTTGCTATTTGATGCTACAAGTGCTCCAAATTATGCTCGTTAAGCACCTTACCACATAACTCTTTGAAGAAATGACAAATATCAACTATAACAAAGCTCACTTTGTCAGGCAAACAATATTTCATAGCTATATGAAGAAACTCTTGCATTATAAGATGACAATAATAGCTTTTGAGACCAAATATTTTGTGTTACTTCACTTGTACACATCTTGAAATATTATAAAAATATTCATCTAAAGCTTTTATTTATTTAAGAACTTCCAAAAATGTTTTTCTCATTTGATTTCATTTGGTAACAAGCTCTAGGAAAATATTAGTTACCTTTAATTTGATGCATCTTGGGATGAAATTGACTTCTAATGTTCATGCCTACAAGATCATAATGTGTGCCTTATCATTATCATTTGGTTTCCCTTCTAAAATCAACAATGTTCCAATAATATTATCACAAACATTTTTTTCAATATGCATCACAGAGATTATGACAAAGAATATTATATTGTCAATAAGGCAATGAGAAAATAATAGTTTTAAATATCCTATATTTTAATCTATGTATAGTATGTAGGATAACATACACATGCAGAAATAGTCTGTTCTACAGAAGTAATATATATATATATATATATATATATATGATGTAAACTTACAAATCTATCTACACAATGTTTGTTTGAGGCACAAAATTATGGTTGAGAAGAAGTGGACGTATTGGATGACCATAATCCATGACTAGTGAAATTCAATGGTATCGGTTAGGGACATTTTTTTTCAATTAAATTTGAAGATTATAATAACTTTTAGGTCAACTTTAAATATTTGTAATTAGTGTATGAATGCTCAACAAAAGAATAAGAGAAATAATTATAAGAGGCATAATAAAAAAATTAGTGAATAGCTACCAAGTGTATTTCAAGAGAATGAGTAGAAAAATAAAAAGAGAAGTAGTGTTATTTATACAAGTTTGAAGGGTGCCACATTTTTAAAAGAAGTGGACTTGATTTCTAAGCTCAAAGGAGGACGAGTCATTTGATTAACACAAAAATATTGCAAGAATTGGCAACAACAGTTATAGGACAAGTTTAATAAGGTCATTCTAGACATTTTATTTTAGAAAATTTGGCTCCATGAGATAAACTCCAAATTTGGAGAGGGGGAGGGTAGAAGTAAATAGGATTCAATAATGGAATGAGATTGATAAGGTCAAAATCCCATCCTTTTCCGTCAGCTCTCCCATCCCTCACTTTTATAAACCAAATAGAATTTTTTTCCTATTTGTGAACCAATTTTATTGAGGTATCTTATTCAATAAGGTACTAAACTTAAATCGCCAACCAAGCTAAAGGTACAAAAAAATGGAGTTGATGTATCCTATTCACATAAGTCTATGGATGTAGCATTTTGGATCAATTTTATTAACTTGAGATCCAATTCTGCTTATAACCAATGTTAAGTTAGCTTGGGAGCATGACTATGTTATATTTGTTCGCTTGGATGTGATATATATAGACTCACTAGATATTTTTTAAAAAAATAAATAAATTATATTTTAACTTTATAATAAATAATTTATATTGTAGTACAAAATTATTTTTATTTATCGATAATCTATTTTAAAATATTAAAATAATAAATAATAAATAATTTTGATCAATAAAAACCAAATTATATATAAAATTTAAAAAAAATCCTTAAAAAGCCTCTCATTAAAAAAAAAACTCCTAAAAATACTTTCGTATAAAATAGTGACTCGTGTTTTATATATATGAATTAATTTAAAATATTAAATTTTAAATCATAAATGAATATGACAAGTACTAGCTTGGATACCTATATAACAATAAAATGCATATATATTTATTCGTACTTGTTCTCATCTTCACTTTAAATTTTGAGAAACTTAATTATTTTTTTTAGAATTTACTTGAGATTTATGTAAGATAAAATGTAATTAATGTAATTTTGTAATTTTCACTCTATGTTGAATTTTTTTAATATTAAAAAAAATCTAATTAATTTCTAGGCAAGTTTAGAGTATACAGTACGAACTTGGAAACGAGGACAATGATATTGAAACTCGCACCTATTCCGTCTATTGCCATCCTTGTATCCAAGGCAACATTTATCATATTCATTTATGATTTAAAATTTAATTTTTAAAAAATAACTTCTATATCTAAAACATGAATATTTATTTTACATGAAAATGTTTTTAGGAGTTTTTTTTATGAGAGGATTTTTAAGAATCTTTTTAACTTTATATACAATTTGGTTTTTATTTATCAAAATTATTAATTATTTTTAAAAAAGGCTATCAATAAATAAAAATAATCTTATACTACAATGTAAATTATTTATTATAAAACTAAAATATGATTTATCTATTTAAAAATATCTATCAAATCTATATATATCACATCCAATCAAACAAATATAACATAGTCATGCTTCTTAGCTAACTTAACATTGACTATAACCAATAACGAATCTCAAGTCAATAAAATTGATCCAAAATGCTACATCCATAGACTTATGTGAATAGGATATATCAAGTTCATTTGTTGAACCTTTAGCTTGGTTGGCGATTCAAGTTTGGTACCCTATTGAATAAGATATCTCAATAAAATTGGTTCATAGATAGGAAAAAAAATTCTTTTTGGCTTATAAAAGTGAGGAATGGGAGAGATGACAGAAAAGGATGGGATTTTACCTTATTGATCTCATTCCATTATTGAATCTTGTTTACTTCCACCCTTCTTCCAACTTTGGAGAGTACATTGCATTATTAAATCCTATGTACTACCACCCCTTCTCTAAATTTGGAGTTCATCTCATGGAGCCAAATTTTATCAAATAAAATGTTTAGAATGACCTTATTAAATTTGTCCTATAATTATTGGTGTCACTTCTTATAATTTTTGTGTTAATCAAATGACTCATCCTCTTTCGAGGCTTGGAGATCAAGTCTATTTCTTTTAAAAGTGTGGCACTCTTTAAACTTGTATGAATAATACTACTTTTCTTCTTATTTTTCTACTCATTCTCTTAAAATACACTTGCTAACTACTCACTAATATTTTACTATACCTCTTATAATTCTTTCTCTTATTATTTTGCTGAACATTCAACTTTCATACTCTAATTATGAATATTTAAAATTTTCCCAATAATAACCTAAAAGTTATTGTGATCTTCAAATTTAATTGGAAAAGAAAAACATATCCTAAACTTTAAATCCTAAACTTAAAATAGATAATATCATTATAATAAATAAAAATGCGTATAGGTGAAAAAATTGAATTAAGAAAGCATTATATAAACAAAATACATTTTCCGAATGTTTTATCAACAATACTTGCAATACAATTTGTAGCACTAAATCAACAATCCCAAGTTTAAATATTGATTAAATAATTATATTAAAATGTAGTAATAGCTTTTATCACTTTTAACCATCTTACCCACTCAGTTTGACTAGAGGTTGGTTAAAAAAATTATAAATGTGAGAGGAGGTAAAGTTAAAGAAAAGAATCACACATAATTCTTGTATGAAACATTTTAATAAATAATAGTTGTAGTGTAATTAGCTCATTAATTCCTAACAGATTACTAAAAAATTATGCTGCTTTTAATGTTAATTCTCTATAATATCTCTAAGGAAAAGACAATTAACAGACTAATAATGTGAACTTTTCAAACCAAAATTTTAGGAGTTTGTTGATGAAATATACACACCACAAGTAGATCCGGATCCTCAACTTGATCTTATTATTTTGCTTTAGTCCAGACGAACAATTATCCCCTCAGAAAGGCACAAATCTCAACTCTGCCAGCTGGTCTCTCTTGCTAATTAGAGAAAATGGCCAAAGAAAAACATTAGAAAATTTAATATATCAAACAAGGTAAGAATAAAGTTAGTGGATATGTTGCAAGTCAACGATAGTATATATTATATTATCATCAAATCAAGGTCATGACTCATAATGTGGCAGTAAGTGTTCATTGGAAAGCTATATATTGGTAAAATATATAGCAACTACTGAATGAAACAAATTAAAATACATAAAACAAACTGAGATTATGACAAAAAAAAAAGCTTCTTACAATATTAATTACCCTCTACCTCAAAGGTCAGATCTAGCTGTAAAAAGTGGGCCTATGGAAATTTCATAATTTTATAAATGAAATATAAATTAAACAAAGCTTAGAAACATGAAACAAGGCAATCAGAGACTTGTTTTATGATAATTAATATACAGTATACAAAAAGATAACAGACCTCAATGATTACTAATTAAAACCACTCCATTATTTAAATCCTATATAGTTACCCAAGGTTGCTATGCTTTATTAAGCTTTAGTGTAGTATTGACTACTATGGTTTAGAAAATCCTTCGTGTATGTCAATTCAAATTTTATTCACCAATAAAGAAAGATTATGAGAAATCGACCAATAACATTTTACACAAAAATGTGTTATAATGATATCAATGTCTTCACAGGTGACAGGTAGCTTTCTCGCATCTATAAAACCCTACAAAATGGAGAATTTGAAAACTTCCCAACTAGAGCCTTCATTCTCTCTCACTCTCACTCACTAACAGCCAGCCAACATTCTTTCTCACTCTCACCTTCACTTACTAAAATTATCACACACGCAACTACAGCAACACATGCACTTTCATACCTATATTCTTTTCACGTAGACTGACACATAGTATTGAGAAAAATTTAAGTCTTACATCGACTAGAGATTAAGTATATAAGTAAAAAATAACTCTCACCTTACAAGCCGATTTTGTAGGGTTGGATTAGGCTTAAATCCACTATTCTAAGATGGTATCAGAGCTATTCTAAATTTTTAAAAATGGGCCACCCACCATTGATACATGCTGTTAGACTCTTGTGAATATAAGAGAAAAAAAAGAAGTCAAGTCTTGTTCATTGGATAATAACCGAGGCTAATAAATAGCATTACATGAGGATAAAAAACTGCAAAACTACCTAAGCGAATATCACATGCACCATGGACATGAGGGGGTGTATTAAGAAAAACTCAAGTCTCTCCAATTCTAGATTATTAAAAAGGGTCATCTATCTAAATTTTTAAAAATGGGCCACCCACCATTGATACATGCTGTTAGACTCTTGTGAATATAAGAGAAAAAAAAGAAGTCAAGTCTTGTTCATTGGATAATAACCGAGGCTAATAAATAGCATTACATGAGGATAAAAAACTGCAAAACTACCTAAGCGAATATCACATGCACCATGGACATGAGGGGGTGTATTAAGAAAAACTCAAGTCTCTCCAATTCTAGATTATTAAAAAGGGTCATCTACCATTTATCCATGTACCAAGCCCAATAGTACTGAATATGAGGGGGTGTATTGGGAAAAATCCAAGTCCTAAATCGACTAGAGATTAGGTATATAAGTGGAAAGCAACCCTCACCTTACAAGCCAATTTTGTAAGGTTGAATTAGGCTTAAATCCACTATTCTAAGATATGGTAATCACACTCTACACTCCTATATGGAGGAAACACACACTAATTCTTTCTTTCACGCTCTCACCACTATACATATTTACTCTTGGAGGAAGCACATAGTACTCAACCTAGCTAATTATCATTATTAAATAGTGTCATCCTTAGCACCATTGACAAAACAGTGCCCTCTTGAAGCATCCACTTCCACTAGACTCGTTTCAAAACACCATTGATACAAGACTTGTAATGTATTAACTATTAAGGTGTCACGTGGGGCATGGTAAAAAAATAGTGCTAATACACTACTACAGGAGGGACATTTTACATCGGTTCTCTAAAGGCATCTACATCGGTTCTAAAATCGATGTAGAATAGGGCGACGTAGAAAATATATACATTTTTACATCGGTTTTCTTGAGAACCGATGTAG